TGCTTTCGACCCCCCCCCCCCTCAATAATTCTCATTTATTAAGATTTTACAAGCATAGTCCATTAATTATTAATTTCAATTTCAATGATTTTATTTGTGTATACTATCATCACGTAGCAGCTCGAGGGCAACCCGACGCTATGTGATGGTAGCACCTGTAGAAGGGTTATGAGTTTATTCAACCATTTCTGTTTCTCTTCTGGCCTTACGGCCAAACCCCAATGGGGTTCGACCAACTGGTCGTCTGTCTTCGTACCGGCCAATGGCCGTCATGCGTCACACTGGCGCGCATTTTTTTTCCACTGTTTCTTATTATACACGTTACAACAATCTCACGTATACACCATAATTACAACAATCTCACGTATACACCATAATTTTTTTCAGTGTTTTGACATTTGCAGTCGTTGTTTTACACATTTTGGCCCCGCGCGTTTTCCTTTTTCAGAAGCAGCAGGAGCGCCCTCTGCATCACAGAAGGGGGAGAGCCGGCCTTAGCCAGCGATCCGACTGGTACGTTCATAACCTACACGGGAATATTGCAGCCTGTTAGGTTAGCTGCCGAAGCAGCCTATGATTCATGCATTCTGTCGTCTTAAAGCACGTTGCTTGGAATTAACGTTGCTTGGGATAAGGTTGTTGATGGAAGATAATTGTGGTAAGAGTGATTAGTCAATTGCTGCTGTTCATAACATCTCTGTAAACAAACCCCATGCATTTGGAATAGAGCTAGCTTAGCGGTCGTACATGATGTCGTTACTAATAAGCAGTGAGGAATGAGTTCTGTTGGAATCATTGAGATCGTTATACTTGAGTCATATCGATCGCATTGTTGTTGTGAGCGGTGAAGCGGATTTTCCCATGTTACCTTGTCACTTTAGCTCCTATCACTTCCGTACCCGCTAATACCCCATATCACTATCATATCACCTCTCGGATCCAAGGTCCCACTGTTGCTTAACCTGCGTTACGAATTTGATGACCCTCCCCTTCCGAGGCCCTTATCGGATCTTATCAACTGTTATCACTTTCTGTCACCCGCCAATAATGTTCCCGTCCCACACCCTATATCACCTCTCGGATCCAAGGTCCTGCTGTTGCTGTAACCTGCGTTACGAATTCGGTGACCCTCCCCTTCCAGGCCCCTTATCGGATCTTATCAACTGATATCACTTCCTGTCACCCACCAATAGTGTTCCCGTCACACCGCCTACATCACTTCTTGAAATCAATGTCTC